GGGGAGAGAGATAAAGGGGGGAGAAAAATGATTTTTCAGAAACAGCAGCCACTGGTTATCATTTTTCTCTTGAACTGTCCAAAGATTTGGATTCTGTTCTCGGAAGTTTTCGTAGAAACGTTTTGATGTAGCTCAAACTGAATGTGTTTATAATTTTTATTTGCTGACGTCTTTCAGCTTTGAGTCTGAGTATCCTTATTCACAGAATTAGGATGTAAAAAAGGACACACAGCTTCCAGATTGTTCTTAAAATAATTATGGGGAGGGGTGGAGGTGGGTAATAAAATATATACACTCCCCAACAATTCTAAAAGCTTTGTTCTGTATTCTTGTTTTGGTTACCATTAATTGTAGGAAGATGTAGCCCGTTAACAACGACGTTCACTCTGTTTCATTAGTCATAGCATAATATTCATCCTTAATACATTCCTATAATATAACCTTCGGCCCAGTGACAGAAATATGCAATGTTTGACCCATGAAAAGAGATATGTGAACAACCTGTACTTATTCATTATGGAAACTTTATTTATCAAATAAGTGTTTTATGTGATGTGATGCGGGCCCATGCCCTTAAACACTGAATAAACTTACTTTCTTACTTACAGTAATATAACTTAATGGTGAAAAAAAAAACACGTTCGTCTTCCACCACATCGTCAATGACTAAGCACTGTTTCATCAGTTATTGCACATACATCGGTAATGCATTTTTATATAAACAGCTTATTGATGGAAAAAAAAAAAACTCCTAACTTTCGTCTTTCCCCTCATCGTCAATGACAAAGCACTGTTTTATCAGTCATCGCATATTCATCCTTAATACATTTCTATATATAAATAAATTATTGATGAAAAAACCCCCCACCTAACTTTCGTCTTCCCCTTCATCCTCAATGACAAATCACTGTTTCATCAGTCATAGCATATTCATCCTTAATACATTTCTATATTATAAATAACTCGTTGAAGGGGGAAAAAAATCCAACAACTCACGTGTATCTTCCTCCTCGTCCCAAAAGCCAAATCACTCTGTTTTAAATAATAGCTTTTTCTTCCTTATTACATTGCTATATAAATAAGTTAATAATGAAAGACAAAAAAAACTTACGTTCGTCTTCCTCGTCGTTATCGCATATTCGAATCGTCCTTAATACATTTCTATATAAATAACTTATTGATTTTAAAAAACCTAAGGTTCGTCTTCCTCCTCATTGTCAATGACAAAATCACTGTTTCATCAGTCATCGCATATTCGTCATTAATACATTATTATATAAATAACTTAATGAAGATGAAAAAATTCGTTACTA